TGCTGATAACATGTTTCTAACATGATTAGCATGTTTTTAGCATTATTAGCCTGTTACTAGCATATTGCTGGCATGATTAGCAAGTTACTAGCATGTCGCTAGCATGTTTCTTACATGATTAGCAAGTGACTAGCATGTTGTTAGCATGATTAACATGTCACTAAGATAGATAGATAGATAATATTCATGCACGTGCACACATAGACATCAGAGGGGGCTTGAGCACCTGCCCTTTTTCTTCCTCAAGAGAAAGTGCCCTTTTTTCTTGTTTTTTTTAATTTTTTTTAATTAATATATGTGTGTGTGTGTGTGTGTATATGTGTTTCTGTCTGCGCACAGCTTTCCCTGTCAAACAAATAAATCTAAATATCAGGTCGGGGTTATTAACTCTGTCGAGTTCCAATGCCTTTCTCTGCGTCTCTGCAGCCTTACATGATTAGCAAGTGACTAGCATGTTGTTAGCATGATTAACATGTCACTAAGATAGATAGATAGATAATATTCAGGCACGTGCACACATAGACATCAGAGGGGGCTTGAGCACCTGCCCTTTTTCTTCAAGAGAAAGTGCCCTTTTTTCTTGTTTTTTTTAATTTTTTTTAATTAATATATGTGTGTGTGTGTGTGTGTATATGTGTTTCTGTCTGCGCACAGCTTTCCCTGTCAAACAAATAAATCTAAATATCAGGTCGGGGTTATTAACTCTGTCGAGTTCCAATGCCTTTCTCTGCGTCTCTGCAGCACAGCAGTGTAGCACACATTGATCGGCACATCACAGAAAGACAGAGAGCCACAGAAGTGAAGCCCTCCCTCCCTTTCCAGTTCCGTTTGTCTTGCTGTGGAGGTGAGTGGTGATGAATAAAAGACTAAGCTAAATGTGCCTCGAATTTACAGCTATTTATCCAAAAGACAAAAGGCAAATATAGTTAATTTGTCTTGCTAACATCCATAACTCATGAGAGAGCTACCATGTAAGTTAGCTAGAGTTAGCTAAGGCAATAGGAACAGTCTAGTAGGTTACAATTTACACCAGTGCGCATTCCTTCACTGCATGATTCAGTTTATTAAAATGCATTTAGAATGATCAGAAAATTCAAGATATGGGGGCAGAAATGTATATCCTATATTTATTTCATTTCATGTAGTTAATCAGTATCACGCAATTATGATTTTATACAGCACAGCAGTTCAATAAACAAGAATTTAATATTAAAGACACTTAGGCCTACTTTGTTGACAATATTGACTGTTCTTTCTCTATTTGCAGCACAGCAGTGTAGCACACATTGATCGGCACATCACAGAAAGACAGAGAGCCACAGAAGTGAAGCCCTCCCTCCCTTTCCAGTTCCGTTTGTCTTGCTGTGGAGGTGAGTGGTGATGAATAAAAGACTAAGCTAAATGTGCCTCGAATTTACAGCTATTTATCCAAAAGACAAAAGGCAAATATAGTTAATTTGTCTTGCTAACATCCA